ACTTGGACTGTGTCTCAAAACACATTGCATATTCTTTTATTTACCTTCCAATTTCTGCATTTGGCCAACCCAGGCTCGTGAAACCCAGGCTTGCTAAAAACTATATTACATTATTGTATATTGAATTACACATTGTATATTACATTTCCTGCACATTTCAAATTGAAACATCCAGTGAATGGCGCTAAAAAGTGTGGTACATTTTGTCAGAAACAGATAAACGTGCCAACATTTTATTACGTTTGTTCATGCACATATCGCACCAGTTCGGAAATCAAATGCCCGAAGAGTGCAGCTGAAAGGTTAATGCTCTGTCATGTTTGAAAATAACCACCTACCACCTACACTAAACCTTATAAATATGTAAAAACCTTATGAATTATGAGGATAAAAATGCATTTGCTGAAGAAACCATGCCATTGTATCTTGTTTTCACACAGCTTTGAGTCAAACTGTATTTCACAAGACTTGAGCTACCTTGCAAGTTTATTACATTGGAAAAGCCTTACATATGGAGCTGGTTATGTGATGCAATTGTCAGCATGTATTAGCTTACCAATCATGCACTATGATAAATATGTTTTGAGGTCATAACACAGTATTGTGCAAGGAACCAGATGGATTCATTAATGATAATCTGCCCCGTAATCCTTATTTGTGTGAAAAAAAGAATAAAAGTTGCTGTTTTACTACAGTTTTCACTGTCAGTGATTTGTCTCTCTTTACAAATGCTCAGAGCAGAGAGAGTGAGAAATGGAAAGCCTGAAGTTATTCATACATTCATATACATGTTATTACTATGTTATTATACTGTTATTAATACGTTATATTATTAGTATGTCATCTTCTTCTTTGGCAAAATTATATAATTAGGATTAACTGTGAAAATGGAGAGAGATATTTAGAGAATGTGACAGTGTCCAAGACTTTCTTCGGTAATTGGGAGAATTAGGAAGAAATCACTGTGTAGCTGTGGGCAGATGTTCCCTCGTTTCTTCATTATTCGTTTAAAAACACTGCAGCCCTTCTACAGGTATTTAACCAATGATTAAAGAAGTAGTATAGAACAAGTGATTAAACAAAAAGTTTGTCCCAGTCCATAATACCAGTCTGCTTCCTCCAGTGAAGAAGTCCATCTCCTTGTTGTCCTCTCCCATCAAAATCCACCACAATATTTGTTTAGAACTGTAGGACTCAAATTTTAGCCAGAAGTATATGGTTTGGATGGATTTGTTTCTTACAAACTCACAGCTTTTCACTTCACTAGATGTTAATTGATGGACTGGATTGGTGTGGATTACTTGTGGATTATTGCGATGTTTTTATCAGCTGTTTGGACTCTCATTCTGACGGCACCCATTCACTGCAGAGGATCCATTGGCGAGCAAGTGATGTAATGCTAAATTTATCCAAACCTGTTCCCATGAAGAAACAAACTCATCTACATTTTGGATGGCCTGAGGGTGAGTAAAATAATACCACAAAGCACACATCATTTGACAAACCTCCATCATCCCACCAGGAAAGAGAAATCAGATGGCATTACAAGCCTTGTGCACGATCAGACTGACATTGGAAACGTGTTTAAAAACGCCTGACAAGGTCAATAACGTGTCTTGGCAGTGTGTGTTGAGTGTGAGAGTGAGCCAGTGGGAGTGTGTGACTCAGATTTTTACACTCAGACAGAAGAATGGTGAGTGTTGTGAAGAAGCTGCATGCTGCGCCAAGGCCAGATTGTATTTTGTGGAGAATGGCCTTGTTTTATATTGAGGAGAAATGAAAGAATAAAAAAAACAGGCCGAGTGTTGGTCCGGTCTCATGTTCAGTAACTTCTTCACCGTTATTATAACTTAAACTCAATAACCAGGCTCTTGCATTGTAGCTACCCAACTTGACCATCAGTTATTGATCCAAGCCTCTTAACTGACCAATTCAGAGCAGCATGTATCTTTTTCTGAAGAGATGACTTAGTCCTGACCTAAAAAAATCACTTGTTTATTATGAACTGAAGTAGAAGAGCATTCAATAAGAAGAATAAAGGTCTAAAATAGAGCTTCACATTGGTTGTTAGTTACACCTCTGTGGCACTGCAATACAGATTTTAAAATTGCAAAGGTCCAACACACTATCATGGCAATTCAGAACTATTCTACGTTTTGGAGAAGTGGCAAATTCTGACAATTTTGTGCAATCTCACTCATACGCTTTTATACAATCTGCTTACGTCCCACTGACAGTTTATGGGTGGGCTTCCATGTTTAAAGGGGTCATATGATGCGATTTCAAGTTTTCCTTTCTCTTTGGAGTGTTACAAGCTCTTGGTGCATAAAGAAGATCTGTAAAGTTGCAAAGACTAAAGTCTCAAATCCAAAGAGATATTCTTTATAAAAGTTAAGAGTCAGCCACGCCTACCTAAAACGCCTCGTTCTAACACAAATAGCATCATATGACCCCTTTAAGTTTTTTTTTCAAATTCATGCAAAATCGCCACTTTGTAAAATTGTGTTTTCCCATGAGATCAAGATGAATGTTCAACATCAGTTTAAAACTGGTGCAACCACATCCATCAAATCTTTCAGCACAATTATAAAAACAGACAAAAAAATATATATATTGTAAACAAGTCAGCAGTTTTTCATCATAAAGTTAAACTATGCTATCCATTTTATGTCTGTTTTGAGGTCAATTATGACTAGAAAAAATATTTTGATAACACTTTATTTTAAGGACCAATTCTCACTATTAACTAGCATGCATATTACTAGCATATTGGCTGTTTATTAATACTTATAAAGCACATATTAAAGCATATTGGCTGTTTATTAATACTTATGAAGCACATATTAATGCCTTATTTTGCACAACCATATTCTAGATCTTTTAATCCTACCCATACCTAAAATTAAAACAACTACCATGCTAACTATTAATAAGAAGCAAATTAGGGGATTATTGAGGCAAAAGTCATAGCTAATGGTTAGGTAATAGTGAGAATTGGAACTTAAAATAAAGTGTGGCCAATTATTTAATATTACAACTGATTACAAAGAGCTCACAATAAATATATTAAATACTATTTTTTTAATTAAAGTGCTAAAAAAAGGGGGGGAAAAACTGTCTAATGCAAAATCACAGTCACACTTTGGAGAAGACCCAATTCTCGTCATTAACAAACTATTAACTACGACTTTTACCTCAATAAACTCCTAATTTGCTGCTTATAAATAGTTAGTAAGGTGGTTGTTAAGTTTAGGTATTTAAAGGGATAGATAAAGTTTAGGATTAGGGATGTAGAATATGGTCATGCAGATTATGTGCTTTATAAGTACTAATAAACAGCCAATATGTTAGTAATATGCTAATAAGCAACTAGTTAATAGTGAGAATTGGACCCTAAACTAAAGTGTTACCAAAATCACTATATGAATAAAACTGTCTTAATGTCACTAAATGTGTAAATGGAGATTTATAATGTAAATTTTTTTTTGCATGTGTTATCAGTTTTACACATTTTTATACATGCAAATATATCATGGCCTATATGAGAGTACTTTATAAGACAGTGGAGTTTGGGATAATTAGGTAACCTTCGCCGCTGAACACCTGTCGGTGTGAATAATTGAAAAGTGAGGAAGTTCCTCAAGTCAAGCAATCGGAAGACTCATCTAGAGGAGCCACGTGACAGGAGGAGGAACGGTACAGAATGAACTGAGAAATGCATTTTTCACGTGTCTTATTTTGGGTTATTGAAAGCTTCTCTAGCTACCTGAATGCCTTCCCTGACTCATGTCTGCAACTATAGAGGATGCATAACTGCTTACCTCACTACATACAAGAACACTGTAAAATCCAATAGTTTACCTTACTTAGATTTAGTTAGTTATCTTTACTTAGTTGTTATACTTACTAGGTTTTATTAAGTTACAGCTACTTTCAAGGCAAATAAAACTATTTACTTACTGTTTTGAGTGACGCTTACTTAAAATATTCAAGTAGCCACAAAGGAACCAATTACATTAATAAAGCAGTGAGAGGCAGCAGTGCACTAATATATTGCTAATGTGCAACATAACAACAGAAGAAGAAGAAAAGAAAGAGTCTTAATAGACTTTTCACCCATTTCCTCCATGTCTGCAGTTATCTTTCACTAGTTGCATTAACTCGTTTCCCAAAGTCATCTTGAATGTTGAATTTTCAATACAACTGAAATATTTGAGAGAACATCACATAAGATAACTTCATAAATTGATGTTGATTTTCATAAAATGTGTGTTTTTTTTAAATTCACCATTATAGTGATTAGCGTTCCCTTTGGTTGGGCACTTTGAACTTGGTTTATGTTGCTATAATTTACTTCCTGTTAATGCAGTAATGCATCATGAAGTCAGAGTTAATTGATTTCAAAAGAAAAAAAATAATAACTAGGTTGCTTTTAGAAAGTGACCTATATTCTAATTAAAGCATTAGTGTGTTTATTAATGAAGTCTCTCAAACTTGATTTTTCATAAATACCTTGAGATGATTTTGATTGCGTTTATATGATCCTTAAATAGTGTGGGGTAACATGCTAAAGTCACACACAGACT